GCAGGCGCAGCGTTTTGTGAGATCCGCAGGTTACGGCGCAGTTCCATTGGGATTAGCGTTTGGAGAGTCGTGTTTTTGGGGTGTTGGATGTGGCCGTGCCATTGGGATTTGCGTTTCAGGGTGTGGCGTCGAAGCTCTGCTTTCGTGACAAGTCTCAGCTGAAATGGCGATTTTGGTGGATGGGAGTGTGCTCAGAACGGGCCGAAATCATTCCAAACGTGTGGTGTGGTGCAAATTTTGTTGAAGCTCACATCAGATGATATTGTCACTTTTCGTGGCAGGCGCAGTACTTTGTGTGGGTTTTGAGGCGTGGAAGTGCGATTTTCGGGGCAGGCGCAGGGAATCGTGAGGTTGCGAGGTGTGGCGGAGGTGACATCTCGTGGCAGGCGCAGTACTTTGTGCGCGTTAGACGTGTGGACGCGGAAAGATTCGTGGCAGGCGCAGGGAATCGTGAGGCTGTGAGTTGTAGTAGAGGTGAATGTCGCTGTCACATTGGGATTGGCGTGTGGGCGGGTGTTGTTTTTGGAGGGACTGGAATCGCAAAACTGCTTGGCAGGGCTGCGTGATGTGTGTGCTCCGATGGGTGTTTCCGCTTGACTTTTGGAGGAAGTCTTGTTGAAACGTTTGTTTTGGAGACTTGACGTGTGACTTTTGGAGGAAGTCTCGTACGAGACGACTTGACGCGTGACTTTTGGAGGAAGTCTCGTACGAAACGCTCGTCTTGCAACCTCGAAGCGGCTTCGAAGCGTGACTTCTGGTCGTACGAAACGCTCGCATGACAATTCTAGTGTGCCGGCAGACCGTGTGGCGACGCGACATTCGTGATGTCGCAGTGCCATTGGGATTTGCGCAGCCTTGGTGGAAAGTGTGTTTGTGTGGCGGCGTGCGACTGGGGAGCGCGAAACACGCTGGGGTAAACGCGGCGTGTCGCTGGTGAGCGGGATGATTTTTGGTATCGTGTGACATGTTTGCTTCAAGTGTGTGGGCAGACCGTGTGGCGACGCGACGTTCGTGATGTCGCAGCGCCATTGGGATTTGCGCGGCCTGGGTGGGAAGTGTGTTTGCGTGGCCCCGTGCCACTGGGGAGCGCGAAACAGGCTGGCGTAAACGCAGCGTGTCGCTGGTGGCGGGATGATTTGTGGTATCGTGTGACATGTTGCTTCTATAGTGTCTGGGCAGACCGTGTGGCGACGCGAAGTTCGTGATGTCGCAGCGCCATTGGGATTTGCGCGGCCTTGGTGGAAAGTGCGTTTGCGTGGCGCCGTGCCACTGGGGAGCGCGAAACATGCTGGCGTAAACGCGGCATGTCGCTGGTGAGCGGGATGATTTGTGGTATCAGGAGTGTCCCAAAAGAGTGCCCCGCAAGAGCTTCCTACAAGACTGACCCACAAGAGTGTCCTACAAGAGTGTCCCACAAGATCTCACAAGAGTGTCCCTCAAGAGTGTCCTATAAGAGTGTCCCACAAGAGTGTCCTGCAAGAGTGTCCCACAAGAGTTTCCTACAAGAGTGTCACACAAGAGCGTCCCACAAGAGTGTCCCACAAGAGTGCCCTACAAGAGTGTCCCACAAGAGTGTCCTACAAGGGTGTCCCACAAGAGTGTCCTACAAGAGTATCCAACAAGAGTGTCCTACAAGAGTGTCCCACAAGAGTGTCCCGCAAGAGTGCCCCACAAGAGTATCCAACAAGAGTGTCCCACAAGAGTGTCCCACAAGAGTGTCCCGCAAGAGTGTCCCACAAGAGTGTCCTACAAGAGTGTCCCACAAGAGTGTCCTACAAGAGTGGCCCACAAGAGTGCCCCAGAAGAGTGTCCCACAAGAGTGTCCTACAAGAGTGTCATTTGGACATATGTAGCCTGTCGAACGTGTTTGCATTCGGGTTCGTGGGCTCCATCTTGTTTTTTTCAATCTCCTGAATGGCTGAGGCTAGTTTCTAGCATTGTGTGGTCGCAAAGGGCATTTGGAGTCTTTCAAATATTCCTGCAAATCCACCAAGCAAGCTCTTCATCTCAGAAACTCTCCCAGCAAGCTAACCCCTCCCCAGCGCTCCCCAGTGTTGAATGGCTAAGGCCCACTCTGCGAAGCGCCCACACCTCTGGAAGCGTTTGCGCCACTCCGGCGCCGCTCCCGCGCCCTGTCCGCTGAGCGGATGACTGCCGCGGAGGCATGCTCGGTGGACGCGCTCGGTAATCATCACATTGGTTGAAAGAATGTCATATATGTGAGATTATGTGACTATTACTTTGTTTGATTTATTGCTTTTCCCAGGGATTGTTTTCGGTGGTTTGCTTTGCGTTGCTCTTCGTTATGTTTTAACGCTCGTGCGTGATGCTTGGGAAACCTAGGACCCAGGAACTGGACTGCGCGCACGCGCCTGTTTTCGCACGAATTTGCCGTATGTGCACGCGCAGCATCCTGTTGTACTGATTGCTCCTATATCAATATTGCATATCGGTTTTGACCATTACATGCCGTGCACCATGGCGTCGTAGGCATTTTGTATTGGTTCGGCAGATTGAGTTTGTTATCGTTTTCGCGCACGACAAAAGTCGGTTTGGGCAAAGACCGAATGGGACAGGATCACTCCATTCACATTGAGCAATGCTCCATGGACTTCCAAAGATAATTTCATCCGCTGATGTTGAAGAAGAACGTTGTGATGAACCGAACCTATTCGCAGTCAAAGAGGGATGCGCTTGAGTTAGACCGTGAGATCCGTGATTTGATCAACGCCCTGGTGGAGGTCTGGTGAGAACTACGTCGAGGTTGAGTCTTTGTTCGACGGGGTCGTTGATGACATTGAGGACAAAATCTACCAGAGGGAAGACATAGTTCATGACCCCAGAGATCCAGCGGATATAGAGGCGGAGGATCTGGCAGTTGTCTAGCGGCATGTTGAAAGGCTAGGTCGTGTTCAGATGGACAGTCGCCGAGTACGGGGGCGAGAGGTGCCATGAGCATTTTTGTGCTGCTGCAGTGGGTAGATGACTGGGCTCCATGTTGTATTTTGTTCAGTGTGATCCGCTCTGGGAGCAATTCGGCCATCGAAATAAAGCTTCTGAGAGTGAGTCACTTGCAATCTCTAGCTGTAGCTGGGTGAAGTATACGGAGGAGTCTCAGCTTGAGTCTGAAAAGATTCCGTGTCCGGACTTTGGCGTTGGCTGCGAAGTGTGAGCCCCCAACCTTGAAGCTATTTTGTACGTGTTGGAGCTTTGGCATGTGCTTGATTGATGGTTTGGCTGCATGTTTCAAACTTGTTTTTTCATGTTTTGCTACAATCTGTGAATCCACTTGCCCTTGGTGCAAGTGAGACAGCAGCACGCCTTTGATCACCATTTAGGTATACCCCACCGCTTGCTCAAGAAATCAAGGGGGGGGTGAGGTAAAAGAAATCAGCTCCAGTTTTTTCTGATTCCCCTTCCAACCAGGACCCCTCCGTGAATTCTGGCTCAACAAAGGCGGTTTTGGTTCATGAACATGGACTTAAGCAGACATGTCATGCAAAACTGAAGTGTCTTGTAACCAAAAAGAAAATTATTGCCTTTCCATGTCAGACTGAAGTGTCTTGTAACACCATGCAGTCTGAGTAGCTGGATCCAACGACATCTGAGTCTGCACTGCTCGCAGGCCAAGAGCTGAACCAGCCAAGAAATCCGCGTCGGCTTTGGCGGTCACCTCCTCCTCCAAATCAGACATCCTCCAGGCGGCGAGCTTGTTGCCAGGTGAACAAAGAACTCAATATCCTTCTGTGGATGTGAAGTCAACGCGGCCGCGAAAGGGGGCTGCACATGAGGGTGAAGTATGTTCAATCCGCTTACGCAAGATCGCCGAGCCATGATCTGCTGCTGCGACAGGTAATCTGCTTACGCTCGGCGAGCGTAAGCGGATTGAACAAATTATGTGCATATCTGTATATATGTGATTACTTGTGCATAATTCACGCTCAGCACAAATGCCCCGCCGCCAGGATGTCACATCCACAGAAGAAGACAAAATCCCCAACTGACATGGACACTTCAGTCTGACATCGCTCACCGCGGCAGAAAAAGAAACCGGGGCGCTGACCACGTGGTGGGTCACTGGTGGAATTTCATTGGGAAAAGAAACTGGGGGTCCCCCACCCCCCCTTGAGGGATGGGGATGGTTTTTTGTTTAGCACTGCGTTTACACATCCTCTGGGGGCTCTTGGCTTCAAGCGTTTGCACGCTGTTTGCGGTAGTTCTGCCCAAGGATCGAAATGAGTGACCCAGAAATCGACCCCGTTGTTGAAATTGTTGAGGACTCTGCTGAGAGCTTATTCCATGATTTGGTGGGGGCTGAGGACTCTGCTGGGAGCTTCTTCCATGACTTGGCGGCGGGACTACATGGTGTTTCCGACATCATGATGCTCTACAGGCTCTGCAAAGCGGCTGGGCATTGTTTTGAGGGAGTTAGGAAGCTGATACGGAGCATGGATCATGTTGAGTCAGATGCACCTGCCCAGTCCTGCAATCCACCTGCCCAGCCGGGAGATCTACCGACTCA